TAGATGAGGGAAGGGCTGTAGATGTCATATACATGGACTTCAGTCAGGCGTTTGATAAGGTTCTCCATGGTAGGCTGATGGAGAAAGTGAAGTCGCATGGGGTCCAGGGTGTACTAGCTAGATGGATAGAGAACTGATTCAGAGATAGTAGGAACTGCAGATGCTGGAGAATCTGAGGTAAGAAGGTATAGAGCTGGATGAACACAGCAGGCCAAGCAGCATCAGAGAAGCAGGAAGGCTGACGCTTCAGGCCTAGACCCTTCTTCATAAAATTTTTCTGAAGAAGGGTCTAGGCCCAAAGTGTCAGCCTTCCTGCTCCTCTGATGCTGCTTGGCATGCTGTGTTCATCCAGCTCCACACCTTCTTATCGCAGATTCTCCAGCATCTGCAGTTCCTACTATCCCTGAAACAATTTTAACCCCACTGCGAAGACTCTTCTAAGGATGCCTACCCTGAAGAAGTTACCCTCCTCCCTCCGGAAAAACCTCAGTGGATCTCTGTCCCGCTGCAACTCTCTCACAATCTCTTCGGCCTTGTAACATTTTTCTGAAGAAGGGTCTAGGCCCGAAGCGTCAGCTTTCCTGCTCCTCTGATGCTGCTTGGCCTGCTGTGTTCATCCAGCTCTACACCTTGTTACCTTGGATAGAGAACTGGCTGGGCAACAGGAGACAGAGAGTTGTAGTGGAAGGGAGTTTCTCAAAATGGAGAACTGTGACCAGTGGTGTTCCACAGGGATCCGTGTTGGGACCATTGTTGTTTGTGATATACATAAATGATCTGGAGGAAGGTATAGATGGTCTGATTATCAAGTTTGCAGATGACACTAAGATTGGTGGAGTAGCAGATAGTGAAGGGGACTGTCGGAGAATGCAGCAGAATATAGATAGATTGGAGAGTTGGGCGGAGAAATGGCAGATGGAGTTCAATCCAGGCAAATGCAAGGTGATGCATTTTGGAAGATCCAATTCAAGAGTGAACTATACAGTAAATGGAAAAGCCCTGGGGAAAATTGATGCACAGAGAGATCTGGGTGTTCAGGTCCATTGTACCCTGAAGGTCGCTACGCAGGTCGATAGAGTGGTCAAGAAGGCATACGGCATGCTTTCATTCATCGGACGGGGTATTGAGTACAAGAGTTGGCAGGTCATGTTACAGTTGGTTCAACCACATTTGGAATACTGTGTACAGTTCTGGTCGCCACATTACCAAAAGGATGTGGATGCTTTGGAGAGGGTGCAGAGGAGGTTCACCAGGATGTTGCCTGGTATGGAGGGTGCTAGCTATGAAGAGAGGTTGAGTAGATTAGGATTATTTACATTAGAAAGACGGAGATTGAGGGGGAACCTGATTGAGGTCTACAAAATCATGAGAGGTATAGACAGGGTGGATAGCAAGAAGCTTTTTCCCAGAGTGGGGGACTCAATTACTAGGGGTCACGATTTCAAGGTGAGAGGGGAAAAGTTTAAGGGAGATATGCGTGGAAAGTTCTTTACGCAGAAGGTGGTGGGTGCCTGGAACGCGTTGCCAGCAGAGGTGGTAGAGGCGGGCACGATAGCGTCATTTAAGATGTATCTAGACAGATACATGAATGGGCAGGGAGCAGAGGGATACAGATCCTTGGAAAATAGGCTACAGGTTTAGATAGAGGATCTGGATTGGTGCAGGCTTGGAGGGCCGAAGGGCCTGTTCCTGTGCTGTAATTTTCTTTGTTCTTTGTTGAAATGGATCATCATCCATGACAATAAAAGCTAAATACTGTGGATGCTGGAAATCCAAAATAAAAACAGGAGAAGCTCAGCAGGTCTGGCAACATTGGCGGAGACAGAAATAGAGTTAACATTTCAAGTCCAGTATGACTCTTCTTTGGAACTTCAGGATAATTGCTGCAGCTCCTCCAATCACAGGTTCCCAACCTGTTGCTCCTCCAGTTGTGGGTTTTGTCTGTGGAGAGGCAGCAAGAGCAGGAGAAAGGCAGTGTGTCATTGGAAATGTTAGAAGAGCAGTTTGGGAGAGACTGAATCTGTGACTGAAGAAGCAACTCTTCATAGATTCTATCTCCAACATACATTTGCTTGCTGCTCCTCTATTAAACTTCACCCTGTTTCTGTTACTGATGGCATTTCAGGGTGTATTTGCCTGGTGGCAAGACCAACAAGAAACAAACAAGAGCCCATGCTAAAGTCTTTGCTCCAGACCTGTTAGGAAGTGCAGAAGAAGCAGTACGGGCTTCAATAACTAGTTCCACCTGGCAGTTAGTGAATCCATTTGGAAGGGGGGATCTGTAGGAACATTCCCAGTTAGAAGCTCAGCAACGAAGCAAACAAGGAGCTCGGTGAGCAAATGGGAAAACTCCTGCTGGGCAAGTGGAACACCTTTCAAATTAACAGCACAAAAAAACAGGCTGTTGAGAAGACTATTCATAAACAGAGAAACACTTACATCTCACAGGCATCAGTGCTGCTATAACGAGCGTATTGTCATGGAACTGTTGAGCTGTTGTGATGAATTTTTCAGGAAAGCTGAATTTTCGGCATGACCTTTCTAAGACCCTCCCACTGACTGTGTTAAAGGCCTTGGTCAAGTCAACAAAGCGACGCAGAGGTCCTTATTCTGTTCTTGGCATTTCTCCTGGATCTCTCTAACTGCAAACATCCCCATCAGTGATGCCTTGACCTTTTCTGAAACCACTCTCACTTACTAGCAACAGATCCTGGTTGTGGGAGTGTCGCACTGAGCACTTCAGAAGAATTCCAATGAAGATTTTGCAGGTTAATAGAGGAGACTGAGATTCCGCTATGATTGCTCTGAGGTTCACTTACACAAGGGAGCAATGGAGACACCTTTCTGGTCTGGCAGGATGGTCCCTTGCTCCCACATACACTGAAAGGGTTCGGGGAGCTCCTCCATCAGCTATTGACCTCCAGCTTTGAAGACCTCAGCTGGGATAGCATTGGCTTTGGATCCTTGCTACTAGGAAGGAGTTTGATTGCACTCCTCACTCCCAACCATGTGACAGGATCACCAAGACAGCAGTTGGTGGCAACTTTTGGCTGTCGGGAAAAGGCAGTGAGAGTGGGACAGGCTGCGTTGCACCCGCTAAACAGCAAAACAATTGTCTGAATAAGGAACAAAAACAAAAGTTGCTGGAAAAGCTCAGCAGGTCTGGCAGCATCTGTGAGGAAAAAAATCAGAGTTAATGTTTCGGATCCGATGACCCTTCCTCAGAACTGTCTGAATAACCCCCTTCTGTGTTGTAAACGCTCTGTGACTGCCCACAGGTGAAGTCTTTTTATCCACCTCTTTCAGGTTCCAATATTTTCTTCTTGACTTCTCCCTTTGATTATACCTTTATACAAACTCAATAGGATGGAACATTCGTTTCCTTTCCAGCATGGTGAGAGTAGTTCCTGAGAATTATTGTAATGGAGAGAGTAACTCTATTGTTTCCAATTATCCTGGGTGTCAGCTATTATTAACTGGCTGCAACACATAACGTTCTAAAGTTGTGGGCTATGGCCTTTCCTTTCAAAACTGTAGATAAACATTTTGCTTTTAACAGCCAGCAACTTAACTCTGTTTTTCTCTGAATCAGTTGGAATAATAGCATAAGGAAATGAAAATGTACATTTGATATGGTTTATTTCATCACCTCAGGATATCCCAAAGCACTGTACAACTGACGATGTAAATATAGTCCCCGCTGTAACATTCTGAAAAAAATGATCCATTAACTATAAAACACTTTTGGAATTGGAACACACTGAGATTCCTATACAAATGCAAACTGGGGCTCTTGTGGTGCAGTGATAGTGACACTATCTCTGGACCAAGAGACTCAGATGCAAATCACACTTGCTCCGGAGGTGTGTAACTACACAAGTTAGTTAGGAAGTATTTATTAATGTTGTCACTTATGTTTTGGAACTCAGGTACCAAATGTTTACAAGGGATGTGATCAAAATGTTCCCATTCCAGAAACTCAGCTGAGTTATCACTAATATTCATATCACAAAAACAAGTCATTATTATTTTGCTGTTTGTTCTGGTTTTCCAACTTGGAGGTTTCTACACTACAACAATACCTTCACTGGCTGTTAAGTTATTTGGGATGACGTCCTGCTGCTATTCTCTGTACAATACCCTCCCCTCAAGACACACCTGTATTGTCAATATTTTGTTTTGTTTCAAATTGTAATATCCTTTCACGAACAAGTGAATGGACATTTATAGCAATGAAATCTAACTCTAAGGGGCTCTTGTGGTCAGTGATAGCATCCAGGATTTAAACCCCACCTACTCTAGAGATGTATAATAACATCTTTGAACTGGTTGATTTGAAAATCTAACTTTTTAGTTTAACACATTGAATCATAACAGTGCAGGAAGAGACCATTTGGTCCATTGGTGCATTGACCCTCCAAAGAGCATCCCACCCAGACTCCTACCCTATTCTCATAACTCCACATTTACCATTGCCAATCCACCTAACCTGCACATACCCGGATTCTGCAGGGTAATTTAGCGTGGCCAATCCACCTAATCTGCACATTGTTGGACTGTGGGAGAAAACAGGAGCACCCGGAGGAAACCCATACAGACAGTCACCCAAGGCTGAAAATTGAACCCAGGTCCCTAGCGCTGTGAGGTAGTAGTGCTAACTGTGCCACGGTGTCAATCAAATTGAAAGGTGAAATAAAACAGCACCGTAAGTGATACTACTCAAAAGGAGACAATTTGGTCTGTTGTGATTGGAACAGCTCCTCAAATAAGCATTATTACCTCGAGCCAATCTCCTGTTTTTTTATCTTTCCCCCATTATTTTTACCCGAATGATCACCCAATACCCTCTGGAATGCACGAAACAGTAACAGTTCCAGACGAAAAAGTTTGCAGCAAAAACTAAATTCAGCTTTAATGACAAAACAAATGCAAGACAGTGCAGGCTGGGAAATGTAGTCTTATTCGTTTAGCATGGAGGACTACATTTCCCAGCTGAGAAAGGGGGTTGATTACGAGCTGCAGCCCCATCCCGAGCTGCTCTGCTCTGTAAGGTGGGGAGGGGAGTGGCAATGTGGCTGAGGTTTCCTGGACTCTGCTCCTGGGGGCTGCGCTTCGGGCTAAGAGCGGTTCCGCGGCAGCAACAGTTACAGCTCCTTACACTGAAGAGGAAGTTCACCGGAGGCATGGAGGAAGAGGCAAAAAGGAAAGCTGGTTACATGGCTGTGGATAATCATGTGCAAGTGAGCAAAGAATGTATCACGGATGCATTTTAATTCACATTTTTTTGTAAAAATTTGCACTAAGTCAGCTATTTCACAGACATGTCAGTTTTTTCTGGATGGAATTGAACTACATAGGGGCTGAGGGGCTGGAGTGGAGGGTTGATAATTGTGTTTCCAATGGATTGCTACCATCCTGTACTAAACTGTAGGTTTACATTTACAGCCCGGCGTTAAAACAGTGAGTATGTTGCTCAGCAGTCAGGTCTGGAAAAGTTCACAAATATGACGTGTGTTTTTATTTAATAAACAAACTTTTTCCTCCTTTGATAAAGTCTTTATGCCTAGTTCTAAAAGTAAAAGAGAGAGAGGTTTTAGACGAGTCTTTAAATTCATTTACACTTAATTACTTTTGAAACCAACGTGCTTCTTCCTTGTAAAATGCAAAAGGGGCGAGGAGAGGTTCACCCTTCTGAAATTCCCGAGTACTCATGGCCACAGATCACAGCTGTGAGGGACTGACTTCTACAGAGTTTTATCGCAACTTTTGTTTAGTGTGAGTTGTGTAAACGAGGATTTGACTGAGTTATTTGGCTGAACCAGACTTCTGTACCCTAGTCAACTGTATGCAGCTCCTGAAATTTAGTGGTTCCTCAACTGTGCAGTGAGAACTGCCCCATAGTTAGTAGCCTAGGAGAGACAGAAACTCAACCGCTCAACAATGTTGCCTTCATATAGTAGTTTGTGAAGGTTCTGCTGTTGACCTCCTGGTTGGGAGAGATAAAGAAAGCTAAACCCCTGACAGATTCTACCAGTCTGTTGCGTGGATGTTGAGCAACAAGGAAAGAAACATCCATTTGTTCAGCATCTTTCACAATATCAGAAAGTATCAATGCTCTTTACATCCTGTTAAATATTTTTGAAGTGTAGCCTCATCTGTTACAATGTTGGAAATGTGGCACAGCAAGCTCCCAAAATGATGACGATGGGATAACTCATTTCACTGATGTTGGACAAAGGATAGATTTTGGCCAGAATGCCAGGCAGAACTCTCTAGCTCTTGGTATTAAACTGAGAGGGCATACGCCCTAGGTTTAATGTCTCATCTGACGGCCAGAGGTGCTGACTTTTCAGGACTCCCTGAATTCCCAGTGATTCTGCAGCAAGTGCAGGTCCACATATAAGATGAAAGTTGGAGATAGTAAGAACTGCTGATGCTGGAGTCAGATATAACACAGTGTGGAGCTGGATGAACACAGCAGGCCAGGCAGCATCAGAGGAGCAAGAAAGCTGATATATTGGTTCGGGACCCTTCTTCAGGGGAAAAAAAAGTTGGTCAGTTTTGGTTGCTTGGCTGTACTATAGGTCCCATATCTAAAATCTGGTACCCTCAGGACTGAGACTGTTGGATTTTGATTTTCCCAGATTTTTGACAATGCAATCTGAATTATTTCTGAATATCATTTTCAGTGTAAAGCCCATTGTTCTGGTTTTTCTATTTCTTTAAATTTGCCGATTTATAGAGTTTCCCACCGCATTCCCTTCACTCAGCTTTTACACTGACACACCTCAGTCTAACTTCTGCAGCTATTCCGTGTTCTCAGTTATGGTCAACGAATTATGCTTCAGTTTTTCAGTGCAACATGCTGGCATTTTTAACATAGCAGCAAGGGCAAAAAAAAACCAAATCACAATAGGCACAAGTGTGTCCAAATGATACAGTTATATCAATAACACAAGTATTGCATGGCCTAAGCCAGAATGGACAGGACTGAGGGTCATTCAGGTCAACTTGGAGTGCAGTAACTAGACTGGCATATCACTGGGAGCAAGCAGTAAACTGATAACTGGCCCAGAGTGCTATCAGCCAAGCCAGTTGTTCAAGTATTTGAACAAGAAATCTGAATTTCATTGAACAAAGGTAGCTCACCACCTTCTCGAGGGCAAATGGGGAGGAGCAGCGACACCCACATCCCACAAGTGAATTAAATAAGCATAAAATATGCAATAACCACAAGTGTCCACGTGATCATCAATTTCATCTGCAAACGGGAACATGGTAATGCTGAGATAACAAGGTGCAGAGCTGGATGAACACATCCAGAAGGGTCTAGACCCAAAACGTCAGCTTTCCTGCTCCTCTGATGCTGCTTGGCCTGCTGTGTTCATCCAGCTCTACACCTTGTTATCTCAGATTCTCCAGCATCAGCAGTTCCCGCTATCTCTGAATCAACACGGTAATGCTGTTAGGAATGTCTTGGGTTGACACTTTTTTTTTGTGTGCCATTCAACACATTATTACAGGAAATTACATGTTCTAGGACCTAGTTTATTTTTGTTCGTGAATATTTACAGTGAGAGTAGTTACACCTGACAACAAAGAATACAATGTCACTTTGACCTGAAAAGACTGACCCTGTTATTTTTGTCTCAGAACAACCAAGCATTGGGTATCGGAAGTGGATCCACAATAGTGTATGCTGTGGACAGAATAGGTGGGTGCTGATTACGATTATAAAGCTATGAAATTGTCTTCGTTTTGTTTTTGTTGTCTCTGCTATTGTATTTGAAAGAAGCATTGTTTTATAATTCCTAACCCCTATCACCTCCCCAACACCTCACTCTTAGCTTTGTGAATTTATTTAGTGAGTTACTGAGTGATAGTTTACAGAAGTTTTCTGTTTGATCCAATGTAGTTATTCTCCCTCTGTGATTTTTTTTTTTGTTTAAAAGGTTGTATTATACTTAGCAAGTCTGTGGATCTTTTGTGCTGTTCAATTATAATCTGATACACTTCCCAGCTTGGTCTCCTCACATGCTCAGCACGTGTATAAATTCTCCTGGCCTCCCCTCATCCTTTTGCTGATTTTTTTTTTGCTCTTTTGGTTCCTGCCGCTCTTGTCTGTTATGGGGGAAAGGGGGCGGGGGGAGGAGTTTCTCCCTACTTGATCCAAAAAACATTTAGTGATTTCTAATTGTAACTTTCTCTGTCCTGTGAACAATTCCAGTTCGTCCAGTTTTCCATGTAACTGAAGTCTCTCATTTCTGGGGCTTGATTAGTGAATCTCCTCTGCACACTCTCTCTCAAGTTCCAGACATCCTTCCTAAGGTGTAGTGCCCAGAATTGACGCATTCCTCCAGCAGGGACTTAACAAATAGATTTATAAGCACGCAATATTGCACCCTGGGGTCCACTGGGGCAGCATGGTGGCTCAGTGGTTAACACTGCTGCCTCACGGCGCCAAGGACCTGGGTTCAATTCCACCCTCCAGCGAATGTCTGTGTGGAGTTTGCACGTTCTTCCCGTGTCTGCGTGAGTTTCCTCCGGGTGCTCCGGTTTCCTCCCATGGTCCAAAGATGTGCAGGTTAGGTGGGTTGGCCATGCTAAATTGCCCATATTGTCCAGGGATGTGTAGCTTAGGTGGGTTATAAGGGGATGGATCAGGGTGGGATGCTCCAATGGTCAGTGTAGACTTGTTGGGCCGAAGGGCCTGTTTCGACACTGTAGGGATTCTATTAATTAATTAATTTCTGGAAGAAGTAGATGAATGAAATTTTTTTTAAAACGTTGCTATAGTCCTACTGGACTGTGGGGCTGCTGTCTCATTGAAAGCCTAACCTACCACACCTCCAAAAAGGAACTAGGTTGAGAAGGCAAGACGTTTGTGCTAACATCAGTCAATGTGGGAATTGAACCCGTGTTGGTGTTGCTGCACCTGCCAACCAGCCAACCAGTCGACTGAGCTAAACGATTCCCTAAACTGTGAAGGTTGGATTGAGCTCAAATGCCACAATCGTGGCAGGGGAATTTTAAATTGCGTTTAATAAATAAATGTGCAATAAAAACTGGTATCAGTAACAGTAGCTTGTAAACAATATCAGTAACTACTGGGATAACAAGGTGTAGAGCTGGATGAACAAAGCAGGGCAAGCAGCATCAGAGGAGCAGGAAGGCTGACATTTTGGGCCTAGACCCTTCATCAGTAACTACTGGATTGTTGTTTTTTTTTAAACAAAAACTTCACTGACGTCCTTGCGGGAAGGAAATGTGGGTGCAGTGATTTCTTGAGGGATCTGCCAGTCCACCATTTCACATTGACAAGATTTGCTGTGACAGTCATAGTACCACACTGCCCAATGTAATATCCCTCTGTGCTCACTAAAGGGTCAATGATTCAAAGGCCCTTATTACAACACACAAGCTAGATGATACTCGCCCACATCAGCAGTGTGACAAACCCTGTGGGCCCCAAGATGAAAATGCACACTGTCAATATATGATTTGGGCAATCCTGGTTGTTCAGTAACGTCAGGTAGCCATCTCTGTTGATGCCAGTAATATTGTAGATTTTGTTTTTTTTTTTTGTTACTGCTTAGTTTCTCTTTATCTGAAGATGTTGCCTTGCGATGTGCTACAGCTCCTTGGTTACAGATTGCCATTTCCCATATGTGAGCTTGAGAATGAGAGTTGGTGGGTTAGCAGGTGGTGCTGTGTGGGGTCTGGAATAGACCACCCAATTCCACAGCGTGGGTCACCAAACTGCGATGAGGAGCAGGATCCGGGGCTATCGACACCCTTCCCAGTCCTGGTCATCTGAGCAAGCTAGGCAGAGTAACTGATTATTGGAAAAGATATCGGATCCATGCTGTGTCAATTTACTGAAGTGATTATGAAAGATAGGATAAAGTTGAAAGACTTGGAAAATTAAGGTAGTGTTTACTGCAGCAGAGAGGTTAAAGTGAAGCTACCATGTGTTGTAATCCCAGCTGATGTTATATGGAACAAATCAGATCCCCGAACGAAAACTGGCTTGTTAGATCCTAACTTTGGCATCCACATGTAAAAGAAAATCGGTCATTGAATACCCTGACAAGAGGCTGCCAGTGTACACTCAACAGAGAGAATAAATTCTTTATTAAACAGAAGCATGGATTACATTGGACAAAACGAAAGAGGAAAGTTTGCTAAAAGCATCAAAAGTATTTGAATTCACTTTGTTCCTTTCGACCCAGTTAAATTCTTGTAAGACACTGAAGCACCGGTGAAGAGTTGCATCTCGCCTTTTGCTCAAGCTTGGGCTGGTACAGCTGCAGCTGGTTTCCTTAGAGGAAATTTAGATGCTTTTATCCCACATTTAGTATCACTTCCCAGGGCACCAAAAGCAAAGCACAAACAAAACACACTGTCCCGTTAATTTCAGATGAATTACAGCATCCAGCAGTCCCTCACTCTCTGGCATGTATCACACTGACTTTTTCGGTTTCTTTGTGTGCCTTGAGGCCCCTGTTTTGAGGCAACAGCACAGTTTATTTTCTCTGCCTTTTATACTTACGCTGCACCCAGCTCTCCCAAAAAGTTGTGAAACCTCAATTAAATGCATGTTTTCTTTTACAAAAAAAAGACGCCCAGACTTTTCAGTGTCACAGCCCCAAGTTCACAAATGAAACTTTTAAAAAAAAAAAAAAAAAATCCCTGTTTTCCCCTTCTTAACGCAAAATATAAACTAAACTTATTGTTCTTAATAAGTAGAATGGCTACAGTGTGGAAGGAGGCCTGTGTCGGCTGACTATAAAAGCAATTCAGCTAGCTCCACTTCTCGGTAAGCTGACAATTCTTTTCTATGTTAATAAGTGTCCATTTACCTCTTGAGGGCTTAGATTGACCTGCTTCCACCATACACTCAGGCAGTTCATTCCTGACCCTAACCACTTGCACTAAAATAAATTCACTTTGACTATTGCTGCTTTTGCTAGTCACCTATCAAAGTCCTCTGGTTTGCTCTTCCTCCACTAACAAAAATCTTATCTTCCTGTCTACTCTCCTCAGAGTCCTCATGAACACTCCTGTCAAATCTTCTCTTCCCTGAGAGCAACAGCCCCAGCTCCTTTAGGTTGCCTGGATTGCTAAAGTTCTTCATCACTGTAGCTATCCTCACAAATCATTTCTGCACCCTCTGTAATGCCTTCAACATCTGCCGTGAAGTTTGGTACCTGAAACTGGCACAATGCCTTACTTGAGGCTGAGCCGGCATTTTATACAGCATTCTCAAATCTTCTGCACTTGTGTACTTTATGTCCCCTAGGATCCCATATGCTTCACTGATGGAGTTCTCAGCCTATCTTGCAACCTTTATTGTTTGTGCGGGCTCTTCTGCTCCTGTAACTCCTTTGGAATTACATCCTTTATTTTTCATTGTCTCTCTCAATTCTTCCTACTTCATGCTTCTCTGTAGTATATTTAACCTGCCAAGCCACTCCCATACTCCTAGGCCTTCTGAAATTTATTAGTATCCTCCTCACAGTATGTACAGACAAATGGTTTAGAACAGGAGGAGGCCTCTGTCCCTCAAGCCTGCTCTGCCATTCAATAAGGTCAGGGCTGATTTGATTACTTCACATTTTTGCCTACCCCTGATAACCTTTCACTTTCTTTTATAAAGAGTCTGTCCGACAATGCCTTCAAAAATGTTCAAGGACCCTTGTGCCATCATCTTTTGAGGATGTGTGTTCCAACGACACTCAATGCTCTGAGAGAAAAGTCTTTTCCTCTTCTGTCTTACATAGGGCACTCCTGATTTTTATGTGGAGGTGCTGGTGTTGGATTGGGGTGGACAAGGTCAGAACTCCCATGACACCGGGTTATAGTCCAACAGGTTTAATTGAAATCACGAGCTTTTGGAGCACTGCTCCTTTGAAGGAGCAGCGCTAACCTTTTGGACTATAACCTGGTGTCATGTGACTTCTGACCTTGTCCTGATTTTTAAACAGTGACCCCTCGTTCTAGATTCGCCCATAAGAGGAGATACCCTCCTGACATCTATCCTGCCAAGACACCTCAAGATCTTGTGTTCCAATTGAGTGGCCTGTTTCTTTCCTAAACTCCAGCAGACACAAGCCTAACCTCTGCAACATTTCCTCCTAAGACAATGGGCCATAAGAACATATGAAATAGGAGCAGGATTAGGCCCTCTGGCCCATAAAGCCTGTTCTGCCATTCAATAAGATCGTGCTGATCTTTTTGTGGACTCAGCTGCACTTACCTACCCACTAACCATACCATTAATTCCCTTTACTGTTCAAGCATCTATCTATCTTTGCCTTAAAAACATTCGATGAGGCAGCCTCAACTGCTTCACTGGGCAGGGAATTCCACGATTCACAACTATCCCAGATAATGTTTTGTAAACTGCCTCCAACAAGTCTTCATCTTTCCTTACGTAGTAGACTATTACTCCAGACGTGGTTTCGCCAATGCCCTGCACAAAGAATAACCTCCTTACTTTTGTCTACAGTTTCCCTTGCAATAAATTATAACATTCTATTAATTTTGCAATCTTCAGCTTTTTTTAGTTAATCGTGGATTGTGGATCTTCATCTTGGAATCTCTCTTTCTCATTCGGAATGTGTTTATTGTGTATTGTGAAATTTCCCCTTATATGCCTACCATGCACCTTGATTGACCTATCCCTTAATCTAATTTGCCAATTCCCTTTAGCCAGGTCCGCTGTTGTGTACTTTCAAGTTTTATATTGTCGTCTGATATTGAAATTTTGCCCTGCGTGATATATATGACGAAAAGCAGAGGCTCCAATACGACTTGAAAATATACCTTCCTGCAGTCTGAAAAGCAACTACTCACCTCTTACAGCTTCCTGGCAGAGCTGTAAGCATGGAAACAGACCCTTTGGTCCAACTCATCAATGTCAACCAGGCATCCCAAATTCATTTAGTCCCATTTGTCAGCATTTGATCTATATCCCTCTAAACCCCTCCTATCTGTAAACCCATCCAGCTGCCTTTTTAAATGTAATTGTACCAGCCTCCACCAGTTCCCTTGGCAGCTCATTCTGTAAATGGACCACACTCTGTGAAAAAGTTGCCCCTTATGTCCTTTTTAAATCTTAGCTCTCTCATCTCAGACCTAAGTTTTGGACTCCCCTACCTTGGGGAAAAAGACCTTGACTATTTGTCTTACCCATGCCCCTCAAGATTCTATAAACCTCTATAAGGTCACCTCTTAGCCTCCGATTCTCCAGGAAAAATAGCCCCAGCCTATTCAGCCTCTCCCTATAGCTCAAACTCGCCAACCCTGGCAACATCCTTGTAAATCTTTTCAGAACTCTTTCAAGTTTAACAACCTCTTTCTTACAGCAGATATTTGTCCAATATAATTGAAGTGTTCAAGATTTTAAAGAATAATTAGTGTAAGGTTGACTTATGGGGTTTGTGTGAGTGTGTGAGCATTTATTTGATAAATCAAATCATTCCATTATGTCCATATCTTGATCACTCTTTTATGTGAAGAGAACACGATGGTATTTCTGGTAGCTTCTCCTATTTTAAAAAAAACTTGTTTCAATTCTCTGCAGCTAAACGGGTTCAAGATGAAAATCTGAAAATAGTCTGTGTACCTACCTCCTTCCAGGTGAGACTGAAGTTAACATTCTAGAGCACAAACATTCAGAGTAGTTCCTCTGGTGACATTTGAAACTCAAACTGAAGTTCCTGCAATTGCCTGATGATAAAGATGAACTTGTTTCAGTGCTGTTCATGATTACAGGCCATCTCAACACACTTTATGGTCAGTGACTTACCCTTGAAGCACAGTCACTGTTGTACTGTTGTGAATGGAACAGCCAATGTGTGCATAACACAGGGCATCATATTACTCTTTTTTTTCTAACAGGTTTTTAGTTTCATGATGTTGCTTGATGGGTATATATTGGGCAAGACCATGAATTCTCCTGCCGTTTCTTTGTTTTTGAAATTATGAGGACAGGATCTTAGTTTGACATCGCATCCAAAAGATGAACCTCCAACCATGCAGCCTCAAACCTGCTCTGCCATTCATTAAGATCATGGCTGACCAGTTTATGTTTTGAATTCCATGTTTCCATCTAACCTCAATAACTTTGTCTAACATGTAGAGATTTGAGAAATTATACATTTTAGCAGGAAGAACGAGGAGGTGTGGTATAAAGTAAATGGTACAATTCTTAAAGGGATGCAGGCATAGCAGGATCTGTGGTTATATGTACACAAACCAGACCATCGGAGAAGCCAACTTCCCATCCATGGACTCCATTTACACTTCTCACTGCCGCAGGAAGGCTGTCAACATCATCAAAGACCCCTCCCACCCGGATAATGCTCGCTTCCTACCTCTTCTGTCAGGCAGAAGATACAGAAGCTTCAACGCGCGCGCCAACAGGTTCAAGAACAGCTTCTTCCCTGCTGTTATTAGATTGTTGAATGGACCCCTCTGACTACAAATAATGCTGATCTTGCTTTGTGCACCTCCTGTGCAGTGTGACCTATAATGCCTCACTCTGTCGAGCACCCTCTGATGTGTATGTCCATGTTTGCTATGATCTGCCTGTACTGCTCGCAAAAGAAAGCTTTTAACTGTACTTGGGTACATGTGACTACCATAAATCAAATCAAATCATTCATATATCAAGACAGATGGAGTAAGTGGCTCAAAACAAATGGAATCCTATGCCTTGTAAGTAAGACTACAAAAGCAAGGAAGTTATGGTTAATCTTTGTAAAACATTGGTTGTCCACATTGAATGCTGTACCCATTCCGGCAGCATTTGGAAGGGCGTAAATATTATGGAGAGGGTACGTACCGAGGTTATACAAAAAACTCCAGGGATGAGGAACTCCAGTTGCATGAATAGATTGAAAAGTTAGAACTCTTCTCCAAAGAGAAGAGAAGGTTGAGAGAAGATTTGATAGAAGTGTTTATCATGAGAACTAATTAAAGAATACATAACGAGGAACTGTTCTGCTTGGTAGAATGGCGGAGATACACAGGACACTGATTTTCAGTGAATGACAAAGGAACACAATGGGGGAGAAACATTTGATATGCATCAAGTTAAGTCCTGGAAGGTACCGTCTGAGAGTCTGATGGAGGCAGATTTATTAATGGCTTACAAAAGGAAATGGATAAGCACCTGAAGAGGGAGTTTGCAAGGCCACAGGGAGAGAGAAAGGAAGTGGCAATGCTGGCTGTCTGTGAACAGCAATACGCAGAAGGCTGAATGGTGTTGTGATAATGCTGATGGGATTATCGACAGTGCTGTAACATTCAGTTGCTGAGGAATAATCTGCGCATTGATGCTCAGTTTGTGTTCTGGCAGAACCACTTGGCTCTAAACCTTATTTCAACCTCGGTTCAACTGTGAACAAAAGAGCTAAACATGAGGACTATGGGTGTCACTGGCTAGGCCCGTAATTGTCCATTTTTTATTGCTGCTTGAGCTGAGTGACTTGTCAGAGAACAGTTAAGAGTCAACTACATTGCTGTGGGTCTGGAGTCACTTGTAGGCCAGACCAGATGAGGATGACAGATTTAATTCCCCAAAGGACATTAGTGAACCAGATGTTGTGTTTTTTTTTACATAAATCAACTTTTTATTCCAATTTTCGTTGACTCCAGTTTCTCCAACTGCCATGGTGGGATTAAATCTATATTTCTGACAGCATTTGTCCAATCCTTTGGATTGTTGTCCCAGTGACAATACCACTACGTTACACCATGCCCCACCCCCTTAGCCCAAAAACATGAACATGGATATACTTGACTAAAATGAGATTTTGAGAGAATGAATTATATGAGAAGTCCATAAATTCTGTCCACAAGGAAAGTGTCTTGTGTTGTACTTCAACAATGGACTTAGATCCAAGTTGATGGTTGGCCACCACCAAACACTAGATTAATTGGTCATTCATTTGACTGGGGAGGTGATCTCCTCATGCTATTATTGCTAGACTGTTAATCCAGAGGCCCAGGTAATGTTCTGGGGCCTGGGTTCAAAAGTTCCCATGGCGATGGTGGAATTTTAATTCAATAAAAATCTGGAACTAAAGTGTCTAATGATGACTGTGAAACCATCGTTAATTGTCAGGAAAAATCCCAAACGATTCACTAAGCAAGGAAGCTGCTGTCCTTGCCTGATCTGGCCTATATGTGACTCCACACAAACAGCGATGTGGTTTACTCTTAATTGCCCTTTTGTGCAGCCAGTGACACACACATCCTGTAAATCAATTTCAAAAAAAAATTCATATCAGTGCTATTGTGAGATTGCACTACAGGCAAAATGGAGTCTTTGCATACCTGGCGGTCATTAGCAAGATCCCAGAGGACTGGAGAATAGCCAATGTTGTTTCTTTGTTTAAGAAGATCAACAAGGATAATACAGGTAATTACAGGCCAGTGAGCCTTCCACCAGTGGTCGGGAAATTATTGAAGAAGATTCTTAGGGACAAGATTTTCTTATTTTGAGAAGAATGGACTTATTAGGGATAGTTGGCATGGCGTTATGCAGGGGTGGTCTGTCTCTCAAATCTGATTGTGTTTTTTGAGGAAGTGACAATGATTGAGTGTAAGGTGGTGAATGTTGTCTACGTGGACTTCACTAAATTATTTGACAAGGTTCTTCATGGAAGGCTGGTTCAGAAGATCAAATTGCATGGAACCCACAGTGAGTTGGTAAGTTGGATGCAAAATTGGCTTGGCCATAGAAGACAGAGGGTAGTTGTGGAGGGATGTTTTTCTGACTGGAGATCTGTGACCAGTCATGTTCTGTTTTTTAAAAAAAAAAGTGTTGGAACCTCTATTATTTGTAGTATATATAAATAATATGGATGAAAATGTTGGTCTGAATAGTAAGTTTGCAGATGACACAGTGGATAGTGAGAGAGGATATCAAAAGATGCAGCAGGATTGAGATCAGCTGGAAAGTTGGACAGAGAAATGGTATCAGAGATAGTAGGAACTGCAGATGCTGGAGAATCCGAGACAACAAGGTGCAGGGCTGGATGAACACAGCATCTGCAGTTCCTACTATCTCTGATACCATTT